GGCAGGTAGTGTATTGAGAAGGACACCTCTGAGATGTTCAGCTTGAATCCAACATTGAGCTGCTTAGTTACAATAGTGTAATAATTTACTGTACTTTTTCCAAAAGTAATTTTATGAATCCCCAATCAAAAGCATGATGGTAATTTTCCAGCCTCGGAGCATGAAGCAAGCCCTCAAAGATGCAAGGAGTTCATTAAGCACACACAGAAATAGTGACTTTGTGCATTGCAGCCTCTCTTTATAAACAATTTCTACATAAATATGGTTAAAGGTAATGAGGAAAAAAATGCTTGGCTCTTCACAAAAAGCCAGTTTCAGGGTTGGAAGTCAGAGGAGAGAGCAACCTGTAAAGATGTAATGCTGTAATATTCGCTTTTCATTAAGCCAAGCCAAACAAGCCAAAAAGGGGGCACTTGCATGTTGTCTCCCTGGAGTCCGTAACTCCGTGCCTGAGATCTCCAAAGGGAGGGTTCACGTTAACCTCAGTTGTGTCATATTTAACTTGGCTCTCTTTGTAAATACCACACCTTTTATATTTCTGACTCTCCCTGTTTTAATACTGCTGGTTTGCTATGTGGAGATTTCTTGTCCTACTTGCGATTTCTCTGAAATATACATAGCTTATCCTCCTGTCTGCTGCTGAACTTCTAATCTGCAAACTCTCAGTAGGTGCTGATTGTGTACCATCATTTAGATGTTGCACGCAGGGGCATTACTGCGTGGTTTCCAGAGGGTGAATGGAAACGAGAGGCTTGAATCAATGCTGTGAGATCTCAACCTGTGAGGGAAAGCTCTAGGGCACCGCTTGTAATTCCCAGGGGGACTTTATATTCTGAAAAAGCAGTGAGAAGCCCTATGCTGTAGCCTGCTTGAGGGTTCCACTGCTGGATTCATATATACTCATTTTGATTTCTTAACCCCATGTGAAAAAAAAATGACTGTTGAAAAAAAGGGTTTCCTCAAAAACATGACCTTTGGTTTATTTTCCCAGCTGCAAAATACCTCAATTGTCCATCTCATTGCCTTTTACACCCCCCACCCTACTTTGTCCCATGACCGTGATGAGGTCCTAGAAATAACTAGGCTCTACTCAGCCCTAGTGAGGCCATTTCCTGAGTGCTGTGCCCAGTTCTGGACTCCTCAATAGAAGAGAGACACGGAGCTCTTGGAGTGAGTCCATCGGAGGGCAACGAAGATGATTAGGGGACTGGAGCATTGCCTTTATAAGGACAAACTGAGGGAGCTGGGCCTCACCCAATGTATATAAGCATCTGAAGGGAGGGTGTCAAGAGGACTGATCCAGGCTCTTCTTGGTGGTGTCAAGCAGTAGGACAAAGAGGCAAGGGGCAGAAACTGATGCACAGGAAGTTCCACCTGAATGTGAGGAAGAACTTCTTTACTGTGTGGGTGGCCGAGCACTGGAACAGATTGTCCAGAGAAGTTGCAGTCTCCCTCACTGGGAATATTCAAGAACTGCCTGGATGCAATCCTGTGCCATGCACTCGAGGGTGACCCTGCTGGAGCAGGGAGGTTGGGCCAGATGACCCACTGTGGTCTCTTTCAACCTTACCCATACTGTGATTTTGTGATAAGGAGTTTTGTAGAAGGTTGCTTCAGAAGAACTTGCACAGAAAGGCCCCTTTAAAGGGCCTCCTGCTTTCTCTGGCCTCCTTGGTTCTGGAATAGTTTGCTTAAACTTCTGATGGTCATATCTATAGCTGATCACATAAGAAATGCAAACTTACACCAAATGGCATTTTAACTTTACAGTCAAAACTTAACACTTTCAACCCAGTTGCAATACCATCTTCAGAAGTGATAGAATTTAAAAAAAAGTGGATATGAACATCTGTTAGAGACAGACTCTCTGCTGGTAATGCTTGAACGAATTTGCAAGAGGTTGGCACTGCATCCTCCAGTGTTCATTAAGACCATGGCGGGACCAGATACCTTCCTGCTGCCTCCTAGTAGTGATAGATGGACATGGACCTCTCTGGCATTCTATAGCCATTCTGGAAGGGAGTAAGAGTGGTGGAAACCTTCAAGCTAAAGTGATGCTTTGAATTTGTCCCAGAGAAACCTCTACCATCACAAATCATCATTCTGCCCAAAGTTAATTGTTTTATTTGGCTTTGGAGAAACTTGCCACATGTGTACATAGCATACCACTTTCTTCCCAAAGGGCAGATGTCTTGAAGAGGCTGCCAGGCCTCTCTAGCTGCTGGGATGCAGGGCATGAGACATGTAAAAAAACATTAGCTCCTTGCTGATCAAATGAGAAGTATTGCTTTATGCTGCTGCTTTTCTAGAGTTTTTGCTCTCAGGTTCCACTGCTGTTTGTCAGTGATTATAACAATAGTAGAATTTGCTTTTCATTTGTGCCGTCCAAAATTGTGAGGGCTGTGTCAATACAGGGGTGTTTGTGCCAGTGGTGTTTAGCAGCTTAGTTTACAGCTAGTCTTGCAAAGTCATTCACTGAGACTCTTGTCATGTTTTATTATTCAAAATCCTTTGAATAAGAGTGGTGGTGGTGGGGAAATAATTTATTATAGAAGTCCAGACAGTGAGATCTTTCAGCTGGGGCCATTGTCAAGAGTTTGTCAGTGTTCCTGCTTCATGGGCTTAGCAGTGACTCTTGTGGAAGGGTAGCTGCTCACCTGGTCCCAGACCATACGTGAGCTTTTAAATGTCACCATGTAACAAGTGACAAAGATGTCTTTTTCAGTGTAAATCGATGCAAAAGGTGTAACTCGTTATACCTCTTCCCTTTTTGAAGCTGCCTTACTGCTCCCACAGGCATACTGTTGGTGTTATGCAGCCATCTAGAGGGCCTGCCGCCTGTGTCAGCTTAACACTGTTGAACAGAAACCACAAAACTGTAGGAAAATACAAACTCTGCTGACCCTTAGTGGCCATAACTCAGCTGCAGTTCTGTGGGAAAGTTTTTACAAATTCAGGACTGCTGTTCTGGTGCAGTTATGCAGTGTGCTGTCATATTTTTTGAGGGCGAAAGGTACTGACTAACCTGTCAGGGAAAAAAGTTGGGGAAGCACTGTCAGCGGAGAAGAGGATCTGGGCACCAGAGAGGAGTAACCTAACCTCAATGTACCTAACCTAATTTTTTATTGATTTTAAGTGATTTTATGGCAGTTCCACAGAGCCAATGAAATTTGTACTTTTAAGGGCTATCACAACTGATACGGTAAACTGAAGGTGAGACATCCCCTGGCAATGAGAGACAGAAAGAAAAACTGGAAGCAAAAGGCAAAAATTACTAAAGACCACCATGTGGCTCTGATGGACAGATGTGATTGCTGGAGACATTAGGAGATGTATGTCTGGTTCAGATAGGGAAGACAGTTCCTTGTACTGACAAGACTGATAGCATTCCCATGCAGCATTACAGGCTTGGGCCAGAGTGCCTGAAAAGCGGCCCAGTAGAAAAAGACCTGGAAGTGCTGGTCGTCAGCTGGCTGAACATGAGCCCAGCAGTGTGCCCACGTGCCTAAGAAAGCCAATGGCATCCTGGCCTCTATCAGCAATAGTGTGCCAGCAGGACTAGGGAAGTGATTGTCCACCTGTACTGGCAAGGCTGCATCTTGAGTACTGTGTCCAGTTCCAGACCCCTCACTTCAACAAAGAGGTTGAGGTGCTGAAGCTGGTGAAGGGTCTGGAGAGTAAGTCCTATGAGGAGTGGCTGAGGCAGCTGGGGCTGTTTAGTCTGGAGAAAAGGAGGCTCAGGGAGACCTTATCTCTATAATGGCTCTATAATGACCCATAAGGAGGTCTTAGCAAGGTGGGAGCTGGCCTCTTCTTCCAGGCAACTAGTAATAGGACAAAAGGAAATGGCCTCAGCTGTGCCAGGGCAGGTTCACGTTGGACATCAGGAAGAATTTCTTAATGGAAAAAGTGGTTAAGCACTGGAACAGACTTCCCAGGAAGGTGGCGGAGTCACCATCCCCAAAAGTGTTCAAGAAATGACTGGGTGTGGCACGTAGTGCTATGGTTTAGTTGACATGGTGATATTCAGTCAAAGGTTGGACTTGATCATCTTGGAGGTCTTCTCCAACCTTAATAGTTCTATGATTCTTTGTTTCTATGCCTTGACCTGGAATGTTAGACAAAAGACTGGCTTTCAAAGACCTGGAAACAAAAATCTGAGGATGTAAATAACGCCTCAAACTGATTATGGGAGCTGAAATACTATTTTATAAGAGGTACTGAAAAATCTAGCAAGGTAACATCTGAAAGGATATAAAATATTTCCCCCATTTAAAAATAACATCACTGATATCAAAATCAGAGAAAGTTAAGAGTCACTGGGTGCCAGATCAAATGAGCATAGATTACCCAAACTTTTCGGGCTGGAAAATTAATGTCTGTTTAACACCAGGAGCAGTGAGATTTATTAGCTGTGTCTGCAGTGCCAGGAGGTGGGGACTCTTGCTAAAATGCAGGTTAACCCAGGAGGGAGTTGTCAGCACCAGCACTTCCAGCCCTATGTTCCTGCTTTGGTGGTACTGTTCAGGCCTGCTGATTTATCAAACTGTTTTATGGTAATTGTAAAACCAGTGTCCCTGCGTTAGTGTGCCTTGCACTCAGGCAAGGATGGCGGGGGAAGCCTGTGAGGGGCTGTAGGTGTGTGCACCCTGTAGTGTGTACACCCTGTAGGTGCCTGTGCACCTTGTAGGTGTATGTACCTTTGGGTGTGCGCACCCTATAGCTGTGTGTACGCCCTGTAGCCTGTGCTTGCACTCTACAGCTGTGCGCACACCCCACAGCAGCGCTCACCCCCTGCCGCCGGCAGGGCTGCGGTGCCGCCCGGCGGCCGGGAGCGGTGGAGCAGGGCCCGGGAGCGATGGAGCAGGGCCCGGGAGCGATGGAGCAGGGCCCGGGAGCGGTGGAGCAGGGCCTGGGAGCTCCGCCCTCCCTCGGCTGGGCGGGCGCAGCCCGTGAAGGGGCCGGGCGGGAGCGGAGCGGGGCGTGGGCCGCCCGTGCTATGGAGCGGCGGGAGTGGCCGGGCGCGGGGTCACTGCTCGCCGCGGGGCTGGAGCCTCGGCCCGAGGCCGCGGCTGCCGCTCCTACCCCTCCTGGCGGCGTAGCCCTCCTCAGGTAAAGGGGGGAGCGAGGTCCCTGCTCCACTCGCCTCAGTGCCGGATCGGCGAGAGCAGCCGGGCTCCGGCCCCGGTCCTGTTTGTGCCCCGAAGGTCTGGCCAGGTACGGGCTGTGCTGAGCCCTCGGACCCGGGGCCGCGGGGCCCGGTGCGGGCTGCCCCCCTTCTCGGTGCCCGCCCGTCCTCCGCGGGGAAACCTCCCCGGACCTCTCTTTGCCCGCAGGGAGGCGGCCCACGGGAGCAGCTCCCGAGCCGATGCTGCTGCCGGCCTGGGAATTATGGCTCTACGGGTTCCTCACCGTGGGCTCCCACCTCTACGCCTTCTACGAAGCGCACCAAGTGTCCCGAAGTAAGTGGGGGACGGGGTCGCGCTTGCTCCGGCGGTCCTTCCCGCCCGTAGGGAAGGCGAGTTTGTGCCCCGAAGGTCTGCACAAACAGGCGAGGCTGCTTAGCCTGAGTTCTGCTCTCTACTTATTTAGTTTTTTGGTTTCTACTTAGTTACTTTGCGAGAGACGCCTGTGCTCTTCCCAGCTGCCAGCCAGCCCTTTGCGAGGAAGCAGTAGGCAGGTGCCGCCTGGGTAGAGAGCTTTGTCCCAGGGCTTTCTTGCCTTTGAGTGCTAGGAACACCCATGGCAATTGTGTCCTGGCAGCTTCCTGCCAAGGAAAGGACGGGGAGACCTCTGAAGCTCAGCTACTCAAATGAGGAAAGTTCAGGCAAGTTGGGGTTGAATTGTCTTGTTTTTCCTGGCTAGTCACCTGCAGCCTGTTGCAGGTGGGTGGTTAAGAAGCATCCATGCCTTGTGACGGTGCTTTCCAGGGTCTGAACCTGGTGAGGCCTCAGGACAGGTGGGTGCTCCCTGCTTGGAACTCTGAGCTCCTCTGCTGGGTTCTGCTTGGAGCAATGGTTGGGTTGTCTGTGCAGCCTTGTTTCCAGACACTTGCTTGTGCCTTGTGTTACCTCTTGGTGGTAGCTGCTGTGGAGACTTGGTTTGGATTCAGTGGAGTTGTGTAGTGCAGAGCTTGTGTGTGAGTGAATTGTATAAGTGGGTCCGTAGGTGGGGTTTTAGATGATTTAAATACAATTTATAGATAAAAAGAAGAAATGTTTGTACCATGTTGGTATTCTAATGGAAATGAAGGTGGTATTATAAAAGTATAACAAGCTAGAGAGGCTCATTAGGAAAATATGTATTGCATCGTGTTAGCCTTTAATCAGCAAGGTGTTCTACACTAATGACCCAGCTGTCTCTTAAAAGAGCTCAAGGGAAGGAGCGCCAGAAGGGCACTTGGAGAGCAGTGGAGGAAGTGTTAGGTAACTAGCTACAGGGCTGTCCACTTCTGTGTACAGCAAGTCTTCTGCAGAGGTGGCAGAATGTGATGGCAGCAGGTTCTGTAGGTGGCATCTCTGAGTGGCTTTTGTCTGCTCTGGCTCTACTGGCCACTCTCAGGTCTGTGCGTCTGCTCTGGTGGGAGAAACCAGGTAGTTCTGAAAAAGGGGAATTGAGGGCTAGTGCTGGTTTTATGCAGTAGAAGGTGGGTCGCTGTGTGCTACTATGCCTATTGGAAGGGGGAATCAAAGCACAGGTTCTGGGAGTTTGCTTTGCCATTGCTGTGGGGCAGAGCTGTGGCCTGGTTGGGCAGCTCAGCTGGTGATATGCCCCTCCCTGGATCTGGGTATCCCCATTGGTGGAGACAACATGGGAATGTGTTGCTCTTGAGCATCAGAGGACCCATCCCTGACTCTCTCTGCTCTGGCTGCTGTGTCCTTAGCAAAGGTTTCCTCTTCCCTGCAGAATATGAAGCTGTGATGGACAGAATGTTTGGGCTGGACCCAGGAACTCTCTTTTGGGGCCTCAAAAAGGTAGGAGGGGTGACAGGTACCAGCATCTCTAATTTTGAGGCAATAATACGAACGTTGTGTCTCCACACCCATTGCACATCCAAACTTCTGATTTAGCTTCAGAAGTTTGTGGTAACTTGCAGATTTGGATATTCGTAGTTAATTTTAGACTCTTTCTGGTGAGGTAAAGGGTTTGGCTGGGTGTGTCTAGATCCAAGAATCATAACCGAAGTTTTGTTGCTTTTCTTGATCCCTGACTTAAGTGTCTATCCTTTGCTACATCCCTTAATAACCCTCTGTTTTACTGTTTGGCCTTAAAAGCTTTGATCACCCTTGATACTTCCTGAAGCCTTTCCCCCCTTTTTTTCTGTCACTGGGTGATTTGAATAATGCATAACATCAGTGAGCATATCATTCTCTTGGTTGGCCTGTAGTCCAGGATAGAGTAAACAGATTTTTGAGTGAAAAGGTCTTAAAGAAATGTGGTTGGTATTAAAAAAAAGAAACTAATAAGAAAACAAAAAAAAAACACAACTGAACACACCCCCACCCCCTTGCTTGCATTTCTTCAAAAGTGTGTGAGGTCAAAAGAAACTAATGTAACTAATATTGAGGATTACTTGTGCAAGATCAGGAAGTGTTTTGGTGTTTAGGCCTGCCATCACTGCTGGTAAGGGAAGCCATGCTTCAAGAAAGCTGTAAAGCAATTCTTGAACTTCTAGTGAGGCTCTACAGAGAGGGCTATCTGACAGAGGGCTATCCTCTTACCTAATTTAGGTAAAAACCTCATGCCACAGGAAACTCCGGATGACCTGACTCCGCCTGATTGCAATTAGGCATTGTTGAAACAGGGAGTTAAACTTTTCTTCCAGGAAAATGCCTTTTCATTTAAGTTCTAGATTTTTCAAGGCAGAGCAGAGTTGCATTCCTAATCCCTCCCTTCTTCAGCACTAGTGTTTAGGAGGGGTTTAGGAGTCACAACATTGTCTAAAGCTCTTTTTTTCTTGAACTTTGCACCTTTGGAAATCCAAATGGTGCTGAGTTCACTGCTTTACTCAATCCAACTGGATTGCTGAAATGATGTTCCTCAGACGTAGAGTTGCTGGGTAAAACACACCCAATGTGTTACAGAGGTGTTCCCTTGTCCTGTAAGAACATGCATTTATGGGCAGATACACGCTGTGACCAATTCCTTTCATGCCACAGGATCCCATGGACTTTGAATGGAGCTACTGGATCGAATGGGGAAGGGAACGTATACTGTGGCTTCTGGCTGGTCACCTGCTGGTATCACAAGTGTCCAGGCTCCTGGTGGAGAAGGTATGCATGGATTTTTTTCACAGCAGGGAGTTTCTGTGACTTTCAGTTTACTCTGGACATGGGAAGCTTGGCACTGAGGCCACTGAATGTAGTAAATCCCACTCTGTGGGGTGAATCGTGTGAGTGGGTCTGTAGCAATCCGTAGGTTGAGATTGTGTAGGTCTCAGTGTTTGGAGACTTCAGCTGCCAGCCTGTGAAAGCCTCTGCCTTGTTGTGAACCATTGAACAGTGTCATTTGACTTGTAGATGAAAGAAGGGTGTAGTTTTTCCTTTCCAAAACTGTAAAGTGATGGCTGCTTGGGTTTTGGCATGATTGCTAGGTGGTTGCATGATTGTGAGAAATGATCTGTGGGGTGTCACACCTACTAGTTTGGGGAAGGAAAGGAAGGAGTTATGTTCTCCTGCAAATTAGGGAGACTCTGGATTTCACATGATGCTATTACAGGAACACCTTCCCCTTCACCTTTATGGATACTGTTGGGTTTTTGCGTATTTTCAAATGTGTTCTTAACCTTGTTGATTGTATTTATCTCTACTGTAGACCCTGTGCAGGACTGCACAAGTACTGAGTGCTTTTTTTTCTTTCGGAATAACTAAAGGTTGTTAATTTTTCTTTTTCTGACAGTATAAACCATGGTGCTTGATGGTTTATGGAATGGCTGCCTGCTGGTTGTTACTGGGAATCAAGGGCTTTGCTGTCATTTTGTTACATGCAGCTGTTTCCTTTGCTGTGGCTCAGTTTCAGCTGTCACTCCTGACGTGGTTGTGCTCCCTTATCTTGCTGTCCACTTTACGCATACCAACTGTGGAAGAAACCAAGGTAATGTGAGGAGGACTAATTAAGCATCAAATTAATTATGGTTGCGGTTGTCTGTAATAGCATCTACCTTTATGACAGCATATTGTCCCTTCAGTTGATGTAAGCAGAGTTTGGTTTGAAAAACCTCAGACAGTAGAGCTGCAGTGACTCGTGCTGGAGCTTCTCCAGTTAGAAAAGGTATATTTCTTGATCGTGGTGGCCAGTGCATTGAGATAGAAATATGTACCTTAACGTGTAACTGGTATTCAGTAGAACTGGAATATGATAGTACTTTACTAGCGCTCTGTTAAAGACATTTCATATTCTTTGGAACTCTAATCATACCAATTTGAGGTGCTGCTTTTCAGGGTTGTATCTGGGAGTTGCTCAGTCAGACCTGCCTGTACCTTACTGGTGACTGTGGACTTCTTCAGGGAGGGAGACTGTTCCTCTGACACTTTGATTTGTACCAGATGAGTTACTTGCTCACAACTGGTTGATGCGAACTCAGTTTTGCTCTTTCTCTTGGTAGTACAGATTTTGGAAACACTGTTGCTCAGTTCTGAGGAATGTCCTTGTTGCATTTACTTGGACCAAGGGGAGAAATGGGCATCTGTAATAATGTTTGTTTCCAGATGTTTGGGGAAGGGGAGACAAGTGTGTAGGGTCTCTTTATGTGATGTAGTCAGGTTTGTGCCTTGCCCTGAGGAGGAAAAGGCCCACTGCAATACAGTGTAATCAACCAAACTACATTTGCTGATGTTTCCAAGTTTATGATGATATGTGTCTGTTGTTGGAAACAAGTGTGACAGTAAGTGTCAAAAAGTCAAGGGCTCAGTAACATTTTTTCAGCCTTAAGCTTTCTTAAGAGTGGCTGATTCTTTTCCGATCTAGCATCAGCCCTAGCAGTCCCTTGGCTGTCAGTAGTGTTGTCAACTGATTTGAATATGGTATTACTGGACCAAATCTGAGGGAGGTAATGACATTTCTGTAAGAAAAGCTCTCCTGCTGTCATAGTTCTTCACAGCCTAATCTGTTTCTGAAATCAATTTGTCTCTTTATGTTGGCTGCAGTATCTGTGGAGGACCTTTCTCCTTCAACAGCCAGTGTTTGTTCATGTGTTTGATGCTGTTCACTTCAGATTCTCATTCCAGCTGCTGTTGGCTTTAAATGCTTCTTGCTGATGCTGACCCCAAAAGTTAGGATCTGAGAGGACATCACTGTTTTGCCATACAGAAAATACAGCATTGCACCATCATGATCTGGCTTTCTGTCTTGCAGAGGGAGTGGTACGACACTGAAAATGAGTATTATCTGCTGCTCTTCACTGTGTCAGTCCGCTGCCTCTTCTGCACTAGCTTCAGCCTGGAGTACTGCTGGCATGGACCTACCCAGAAGTCATCCCACTCATTCCCATGGATGCTGGCCTATGTGTTTTATTATCCCACGTTCCACAATGGACCCCTTATGAATTTTGATGAATTCAGTAAGCAGGTAACAGTGGTTGTTGTTTGGGTGTCTAAAGCTATCTTCTACAAAATTTTGAAATCATTGAACAATATTGTAGGAATGTGACAATTTTGATTGCATCATTGGCAGTTTGGCGATGTTCTGTATATCAAATTTTAAGGCAAACCTTCCTGCCCAAGTTCTTCACTGCACAGGATGTTTTTGTCTGACATAAGATTCATCCCTTCAATCAGGGAGCCAGTGATGTGCTTTGTTACGTTTGGAAAGTGTTCATAATTTTAGCATGCAGCTGCTGGCCTTGATTTTTTTTCTTCTCCGTCAGGTGGAATAAAGTAATGTTTTCAGGATAAACTTGCTATTAACTCTGAAACAGATTTCAGAGTCACAGAAAACTGATAGTTGGCATTGGAAATTCCTGAAGGCGCCAGTTTCCCCTCATATTGAAGTGAAAACATGATTGTTTGCTTGGAGCACTTTGCTTCAACTAGGAAGCTTGTGTAAGACTTACCAATCTTAACAAATGCTTTTCCTAGTCCCTTGCAGGCTGCTTTTCAAGCCTGCTTCTATGTGGCAGCGGAAAACTCCGTATTTTCTTTCTTTATTGCTTTCCATATTAGTTGGAAAAGGGTTTCAAAGTTTGCAGTGCCCAGCAGTTGATTCAAAGTGCACGATACAGAGTGTGTTTATTGCTGCTATTTGAGAAGACCACTCGTAGAACCCTTTAAATGAAGCTGAGACTGAGATGAGGGTTCCTGCTGAACACACTGGAAAGTGGAAGTTCTGGAGTTGGAGACAGTGAAACTGCTGTATGTCCCAAAGAGTGTACTACCAGTTCTGACAATTGGTATCCACTGCTAGGCAAAAATGAGGTACTGACACTTGATCAGTGGCCTTGCTGAATTTCTGGCTTGAAGCAAGTCATAGCAGTTCTAGTCATGGGGTTGGAGGCTTGTTGTGCAAATCCCTGTGATAAAATGGTGGTCTCCGAGCTTTCATCTGCTTGGTACAAACAAACCCTCCAAAAGAGTGTGCATGTTGGCTGTACTACATGCCTGTGATTGAGGGTCCATGGAGATGAGTTAGTTACTTCTCTTGTATGTGCGTTTTTGGTGGCCAGTTAGAGACTGGAGAAGGAAATGTTGCACACAGTAATAGGTATACAAAATGACTATTTTTAGGCAATCCTATGTTTCTGTTGTTTGATCCTATTCTCTTTTCTTGCAGAAAGAAGGTGCAATAATAATATGCCAATGTGTTTACTGTAGTTCAGCAGTGTAAGAGTTTGGGGCATCTTGAGAAGCATGTCAACTGCAAACCTTGTCTTACCTAGTATTTAACTTGCACTTCCACTTGCTCATCATGTCATGTAGGTCTTGGGCAGTGCAACAGGGGAAAAATTAAGAACTGTCTTCAAGTAATCAATTCCCTGGAGTTGTTAAAGTTGGAGGTATTTAAAGAGCAAGCAGTCATGGTCTCTCTGTTTGAAAGGGCTGCTGCTTGGAAAACCTTCATAGCTGTGGTTTCTTTAATCTCTTTAGATTATCTATAGAGGTTGATCAAATTACAGGAGTTTAGGTCTTGTGTCTGGATTCTGTTCAGGTTAACAGCACTTGACCTTTCCTACAACAGTTTGGTGCAGTGTATTTGTGTTTGGCTTCTTGTTGGTTTCTATGGCTTACTGAGTTTGAGACTGGAGAGGCTGGTTTTTCTCAAGAATATGTTTGGAGGAATTTCCAAATGGTGTAGTCAAAAAGTTCTCAGGATGAGTATTTTGATTAAAACAGTCAGTTATGTGATGGGTAACCTCTTTGCGTTTTTTCTGCAGATGAGGAGACAAGAAGCTTTCAGTGTGAAGAGTAATCTCAGCATCTTAATCGTGGGCATAATTCGTATTTTCTTTTGGTGGTGCTTGGCTGAGCTGATGATTCATCTCATGTATATCCATGCTCTCTACAGTAGTGCTCTGCCTTTGGAATCTGCATCATACTGGGCCTTGGGTGAGTATAGACACAATAGCAGAAATCTTCCTTCTCTCCCACTTCAAGATCCTCAGTTATTTCTCTTTTATGTCTGTCTGTAGATGCTTATGAATAGCACATTATAGCCAGCCACTGCCAGAGAGGTGCTCTACAGACTCATAATATAACATGTAGGCTCTCTATAAGCTTAGTTGAATGTTACTGAGCTGCTTCCTAAATTAAAAATGTTCTATACTTTTTTCAGTCTAAAGTATGTCTAAACTGTGGTCTAAAGTGTTTCTCCTCCTTGAGTCATAGAAGTGGACACTTAAAAGAGTTTTTTTTTAGTGTGGGGATGGAGGAGGGGAGATGTTAATTATTATTGATCTCCCTCTGATTGATGTTTCTAGTTTGTATTCATGTTGAAAAGTAAAAATGACAGAACTCATGAAACTAGTAGAGGGAAGGACTTGGAAATACAGTGACCTGGAAGTAGCAGTCAGTACCTTGCAGTTATGTTTTCCTGCTTGGATTCCCCCACTTCTGCCCTTGCTCAGTCTCCCTGGTATTTCAGTAAAATGCCCAACTGTGAGGAAAAAGTGCTGATAAATGCAGCATAATCCAGCAAGAGCTTTGGGTGATGGTATGTAAATAACTGTTATATGTAGTCCATTTGATTCCTACCCCCCTTCCCTTCCCAGCTATGTGTATCACCAGGTAGGAGGAACAAAAGAAACTCCAGACCTTAAAACTGGGTTCTGAAAAAGCCTTCGTGATTCCTGAATTGAAGGAGGTGTCTCTTACACCAGGGATATTACACCATAATATACACTCTGGTGTGGTCCTGTCCAGCATTTGTTGAAGATTACCTATGAAGTGTGTGTTGGAGGATACCTGTGCATTGGACTCTGGTCAGCAGAGGGCAACGTGTGCACTCTGTGCTTATCTGTAGGTGCATAAATAAACAATATATATTTCAGTATGATTTTTATATCTAAAAAAGGGCAAGGGCAAATGGAGAGCAAGAAAGTGAGAGGTTTGCCTCTGTGGTTCATTGTTTGTTCTATTCCTTACTCATTCACTGTTTAGAAAGTGGATTCTGAGTTTTTCTGATGTAAGTGTCAATTCATTGATGAATTAAATCTGTTCACTCCTGGTGTTTGTGTATGTGACAAAAAGCTGGCCACTTGATAAGGCAGGCAAGGCTACTGAGCTAGGCATGAAATATTCCAGCTGTGATGCTACTGGTGGATTCCTCCCTCCTTTCAAGACTACCAATGTTGATTTTAAAGGGGAGCTGAGGGTGAGTTACTTCACAGACAACATTGTAGGCTGTATATTTATTTGATGAAAAAAAGTATGTAATCCTGAAAATTAAAATGCATTTTGAACAGATGATTAGAAAAGGTGAAAATACCTCAAAGCAACAGATGGTGAAAGCCAGTATTAAAGCAAGTTTGGACTGAAAAGCTGTCTGACTTCAAGTCAAATGACTATATTTTAATGAGTTGCCTGTGGAGACCCTGCTTTTAGGAGAGATGTATTCCAAATGTAACCATACTCACTGAGATTCCTCTTCATATTGAAAGCAGCTGTTTAAAATATACTACAGATGAGATTTTGAAGCAGAAGCTGGTCACTAAAAGTGTTTTTTCTGCGTGTTTATCACAGTGGTGGGTTGACCTTGGCTGGATGCCAGATGCCCATCCAACTGCTCGATCACTGCCTTTCCCAGCCATAAAGGGGAGAGAAAGATGGAAGACAACTCGTAGATTGGGATAAGACAGTTTATTAAAGCAAAAGCTTGTGCATCCAAAAGCAAAGTGAAAAATGACAAGGTTTATTCTCTACTTCCCAGTCAGCAGCGATGTCTGGCCACCTTCCCGAGACGCAGGGCTTCAGCACGCACAAGGGTTTCTTAGCAGGCAGCCATTGGAGACAGTGAATGCCCCACCTCCCCACCCCAGCCTCTGTATCTGAGTTGGTGTCATAGGGTATGGAATATCCCCTTGGCTAGCCTGGGTCAGCTGGCCTACCTGTGTTCTCTCCCAGAAGGAATGCCCCAGCACCGGTGCTGTGCTCAGGAGTAGCCAAAAAACTGGTGTGCCATCAACACCCCTCCAGGCCACTAAAGCACAGCACCGTGAGGGCTGCCATGGGGGAAACAAACTCCATCCCAGACCCAACACAATGACAATGGTTATAGAGGACTCCTTAGACTACAACCAGTTGTAGGCCACTGTTGTGACTTGCTTTAGGGAACCACCAATATATGAGTAATAAGGGTACTAGTAATACTTTAAATCTTACTGGACCCTTATGGATCTTACCATGCTTCTACACCAGTTCTTGTACAGAGCCAAACACCTCTGTTATTTTGCATTCTGTTTTATTAAAACCAGTTACATCAGGTAACTGAGCCTTGAGACCAAGGAAGCATCCTGCTCTTGACTCAGGAGGATTAACCACATGCTATATAAGCCTTTCTGCACTAATGGGTTTTGTTAATTCTGTAGTTTATATTTAACTACAGCAGCTTCAAAGAAGCACAGAGCATCTACCCTTACCACAATGCCTGGCTGCTGTGATAGTCTGGTAAACTTAGGAGAAAGACTGTGAGACTGTTCTGCAATTACCTGTAATCAGGGAGGTTATATGTGCTCCTCCATTTTTCTTCCAGGATGACTTTGAACAATGGGCAATAAATGCCAGTAGCGCAGGTAAAGACAACAGTGTTGTGAGATTTTACTCTCAGCATCCAAGGGTAATGTCAGTCGACACCTCGTGAGTGTGAAGCTATAGTTGTGATCTACATCATTGTGTGGTGTTCCTGTGAGGTGAGACAGCAAAGAAATAAAAGACCCCACAAACCCTAAACTAAACCCGGACTGACTTATAGTTTTTGTTTAAAAATGCTAATGTACAACATTGTCATTAATGTCTGTGTAAAGCAAAAATGCTAAAGTGACCTAAAGTAATATTGTTGAGGGCACACAGGTATAAAATTAAGAAAAAAAATAATAGCTGGGAGAATGTTAATTACCCAGCAGTAAGAGAAATATTTTCTCTTGTGTGAATGGAATTATAGGCACATGAGTTTATACAAGCAGCAACATACCAAAGTGGTGCATATATGGTTTTGATGCCTGTGTATTTTACTGTAAAAAGGGTGCAAACTGTCTTCAATGTTACTGTTCATGTGCATTAGCTACTGTTAATATAATTTTTTTTGTTTGTGTTTTTTTTTTTTTTTCCGATTTGGTGGGGTTTTTTTTGTTTGTTTTGTTCTGTGTGAGCAGGTCGAAGTCAGAGCAGAGGAGAGCTTTCTCCCTCTCTACAGGAAATTACCTTCTGTCCCAAATAACCCAACTGGGTTTTTTGTTTGGTGTCCCTTGAGACACATATTACTGTACTGTCTTAAAGGCACAGAGGATATTGTAGCCTTGCTTCACCTTTTGCTTCTCAAATGAGTATCCTTCAGTCTCTTCACTGGCTATGTAATCTGGATAGATGAAGCCTATCTCTTGAGTAAATAATGATGTGTGTTGTGGTTTAGGAATGGTATTCTCCACTTTAGTACTCCCATTAAAACAATGTGCTGCTTTCCCTCTCCAGTTGGAGATCCAAAAGGCAAAGATCATAGGTTAAGAACAATTTACTAGAAATGGCAATGGAATAAAAAAATGAACAGTATTAATATCACAATATTAATAACAAAAGTGTACAAAAGAGATAGTGCGAAGCTCAACCCCCATCCATGCCACTCCAACTTCTCCATTTGGCTGCAGAACAGCATTACTCCACTGCTCCATCCACCGCACTTGCTCAAGCAGAAGGACCCCCTTCTCCTCGGAAGTGAGAGTCCCTTTCCCCACCCCTGGCACTGACCTGAGGTGGTATAGAATAACTTCGTCTTAGCCATGTCCCCTCCTTGCTACTGCAGAAATTAACCCTGTTCTCTCCCAGACCAGGACATGTGGCACATGCTTTCCAGTACTCTTGTGGTACTGTGGATGGAAACACTGCTGTCACTGAAGTATCTGTGCAGTCTCTTTAATTGCTGCTTTATGCAGGTTATATTCGTAACTGGCATGTTTCAAAGCAATTAACTGAGTGATAAGAGCGTTGGGAATTGGGAACAGCTTTGGGAAGAGTGGAGACAGTGTATGTTAAGTTGTCTAAAGGTAGGACCTTCACTTCTCTCCCAGTGACTCCTGTTTTCCTGGATTACTATTGTCCCTGTGTTAACTTGTGCCTGGCAGTTGCCAGTAAAGACGGCTTCTGTGCCTTCCCTGTGGATCAGTATGCTATGGATGTACATAGTCACCAACCTGCCCTGAGAGAGTGCAGGTTGCATCCCTCTGTGCATCAATCCTTTAATGGGTAGAAAGCGTCTTGTTGCCCTATGCCTCTTGGATTTTAGGGGGTTTAAATGAAAAATGGTTGGAGTCCTAACTGGAGGGTCCTCTGAAAAACAGCAGCTTTCTTAAAGCTGTTCTTCATGTTATGTAGAGGAACTTCTCTACTAGGAGAGAAAATGGACATTCATTATTTAAGCTCTTCTGCTAGAAAGTATGAAGTCTACTGTTAAATTTTTTTTCCACATTGAAGACGTTTTGCTGGCTTTCTGACCTTGATATTAGAAAAAACTTGTTGCAGCCACATCTTACATGGACTAAATACAATAAGAAAATACTATGGATCTGTTTTCAGAGTATCCCCTCCACTACTCAATACCAAAATCCCCACATGCCAAACAGATGTCAGAATTTCTTCTATCACATATTCTTCCTCATGTTTAAATTATTTCCTTCAGCATTCTGCACATAATTCTTTAAACTTGCATGTTTATATTGCAGCAAACTGTGGCCATAGTACTGGAGACCTTATGCCACGTGCATTAACAAAAAGCTGTATTACATGGGTCTGAAAACAGTGTCATTTCAAACTGAGTATGCAGGTGTGTTCTGCTTCCTCAGTGGCAAGGAATGTGTTTGGTAGCAAGAATAATGATGTCAGTCTTTGGTATGGAGGAAGAG